ATAAAAGCTGAAGCCGGGCTCGGTGGCTCAGTCTGTAATCCCGCACCTTTGGGAGGCTGAGGTGAGTGGATTGCTGGAGCCTGTAGGTTCAAGACCCGCCTGGCTAGCGAGACCTCATCTCTTCAATAAATCAAAAAATCTACTGGGCGTGGTAGCGCATGCCTGTAATTCTGGCTACTTGGAAGGCTGAGGCGGAAGGATCGCCGGAGCCCAGCAGGTCGAGGCTGCGGTGGCCAGAAGCGGCCACTGCACTCCAGTCTGGGCGACAGAGTGAGACTCCAACTCAAAAAAAAATATTTAAAATAAATAAATAAATAAAAGCCGATTGTTGTTATCCTGATTGAGTCCTGCAATTATCATTTCTTTTACTTTAGGTAAACTTTTATTTTCAAGAGTCTTTTGTTGGTGTTGTAAATGTAATCTTGATTCAGTTTCATTTTTTGTAATATATTCTCTAAATACAAAAAAAAATGGTAACTTTTATATTATGTGTGTATTTACCAAAGAAAACCAACCAACAAAAACATATCCCGATTGAACTCTATATCTTTTCCCCAATCTGCTTCTCTTCTGGTTTTCCAAATTTTGGTGACTGCATCAAGTCCTCCAGATGGAAAGTTGGGTGTTCACCTGAAGGTCTTCTTCTGTCTCACTCTCTCTGCCAAGCTAATCACCAAGTCCTTTGGCACTATCTTCTTCTTCTGGTTTTTTTTTGTTTGTTTGTTTTTTTGTTTTTAGTTGGAGTCTCACTCTGTGGCCCAGGTTAGGGTGCAGTGGCACACTTATGGCCACCACAGCCTTGACCTGCTGGTCTCAGGTCTTTGGCCTCAGGCTTTTCAAGTAGCTGGAACTACAGGCATGGGCCACCATGCCCAGCTAATTTTTTGATTTGTTGTAGAGATGAGGTCTTGCCAAGTTGCCCAGGCTGGTCTCGAACCCGTGTGCTGTGGCAATCCTCTCACCTTGATCTCCCAAAGTGCTGGGATTATACACATGAGCCACTGCACCCAGCCTGGCACTATCTTCTTGACATCACTTTATATACCCACTCTGTCCATCTCATTTCTTGTTATCGGCACCAACTCTCACCCATAGTTGTTGCTGGTACTATATGCTAACTTTTCTCTCTGCCTGAGATCTTGCTCCATTTCCATGTCTCTACTCGGGTCTTTTTTTCTAGTAGATGTGAACTAATTATTTCCACTCCTAAAAGCACTTTTTTTTTTTTTTTAGTTGGATACTCCTCTGTCGCCCAGACTGGAGTGCTATGGCACACTCACAGCCACCCCAGTGTCGACCTTCTGGGCTCCAGCGATCCTTCCGCCTCAGCCTTCCAAGTAGCTGGAACTACAGGGCCCACCTGGCTAATTTTTTGATTTATTGTAGAGGCAAGTTCTCGCCAAGTTGTCCAGGCTGGTCTCAAACCCGCAGGCTCAGGCAATCCACTTGCCTCGGCCTTCCAAAATGCTGGGATTACAGGCTGAGCCACCAAACCCAGCCCCTAAAAGTACTTTGATAGTTCCCCATTGGCTGCTACTACTTAGATTGGGAAATAAGGGTCTCCTCCAGCTCATCCATTCCTTCCTTTCCTGTTCCTTGCCCTACTTCTTTGTGGGCCTTTCTTTGTACAATATACTCCAGCTGTAGCAAACCACCGCTTATAGCTCCAGAGAACATGTCATACTGTTTTATGCCTTTGTGTCTTTGTTCACATGACACTCTATGGGACTGCTAAGAATTCTCCACCCCATCCTGCCCACCTGGTGAACACCTGGTTTTCTTTGAAGGCAACTGAAAACTCCTGTCCTAGATGAAACTTGTTCTGAACACTTCCCTTTTCTCTTCACTCAGAATTTATTTTTCCTCCTTTGTAACTCCTATACAATGTTTTAAACAAATTATTGCTTTTGTAACATTTCATTACACTTATCTACTTTACATGTGTAGGTACTTTTATTTCATAATTATTTTGAAGTCAGGGCTGTGACTTATTTTTCTTTATATCCTTAATGACTAACAGTGTTTGGGATATTGTACATGTTTATTAAAAATTGGTTGAATACATGATGTATTATATGGATTTTAATGGAACATTCATTCAACAAACATTTACAAAGCACTTGTTATGTTCTAGGTGCTGGGGACATCTGGCATCTAATGTATAATTTAGTAACACTGATATGTTAAAGAAAATAGGTGTTAGAACATATCCTATGATATGGCAAGTATTTAGCAAATGTCTCAATCAAGTACTGTGTGTTGGGGAAGAGGGAGGAGATAGGGTTACCCGTTGTGGTGAGTTAGGAAAATCTTCCCACAGGAGGTGTCCTTGGCATGCCTTTTTTTTTTTTTTTTGAGTTGGAGTCCCTCTGTTGCTCAGGCTGGAGTGCAGTGGCATGCTCATGGCCACCACAGACTCAAACTGCTGGGCTCTGGTGGTCCTACTGCCTCAGCCTTCCAAGTAGCTGGAACTACAGGCATGCACTACCATGCCCAGCTATTTTTTTGATTTATTGTAAAGATGAGATCTCGTCAAGTTGCCCAGGATGGTCTCGAACCCCTGAGCTCATGCAATCCTCTCGCCTCAGCCTTCTAAAGTGCTGGAATTACAGGCTTGAACCACCACACCAGCCGGCATGCTCATTTTTGGTGAGTATGAGTTCACCAGGTGTAAATGCTTTGTAGATGAGGTAATGTATTTATTAATCATTGTATCTTTGTAGTTAGTACAGTGATTCTACTAGTGACTGTTTGATAAATATTGGTTGAACAAACTGAACCCATGAGACATTCTGGGTTCAGTCCATTGACTCCAATGTGCGAGTACAGTTCTCTCCAGGCTGGGAATAGCTGGGGAGAAATTGATGAATCATGAAGGATGAAAGGAGGTATCTACAGAAACCTAGAATAAACTTAGTTCACATTTTACCTAAGCATAATCATTTGTGCTTTGACTGACATGCTTTGACTCTAGCACAGGTTAGACATAGATAAATTTCCAATAGGCAGGTTTTAGGAGGAATTCAAACATTCTACTGTGGCAGCCTACCCCACTCCCTTGGCAAATCTCCACCAGATGCAAGACCAGGACAGACCAACCTTTCTTTTTCTTTCTTTCTTTCTTTCTTTCTTTCTTTCTTTCTTTCTTTCTTTCTTTCTTTCTTTCTTTCTTTCTTTCTTTCCTTTCTTTCTTTCTTTTTTTTTTTTGATTTGGAGTCTCACTCTGTTGCCCAGGCTGGATTGCCCAGTGGCATGCTCATGGCTACTGCAGCCTTGACCTGCTGGGCTCAGGCAATCCTTCTGCCTCAGCCTTCCAAGCAGCTGGAACTACAGGTGCACGCTACTATGCCTGACTTATTTTTTGATGTATCATAGAGATGTGATCTTGCCAGGTTGCCCAGGCTGGTCTCGAACCCCTGAGCTCAGGCAATCCTCTCACCTTGGCCTCAAAAAGTGCTGGGATTACAGACTTGAACCACCACAACCGGCCAGCCCAACCTTACAATTAATGGTTTAGCATAATAATCTGTGGTAAATTTCAGGTTTTTTGTCAAAGTGGAAGATTGAAGACCACCCCTTGGCTGCTCGAAGACATAGAAATGATATTAAGACCACCTTTTCAGTTGGGCGCAGTGGCTCAGCCTGTAATCCCAGCACTTTGGGAGGCAGAGGCGAGAGGATTGTCTGAGTTCAGGAGTTCGAGACCAGCCTGGGCAACTTGGTGAGACCTCATCTCTACAATAAATCACAAAAAATTAGCTGGGCATGGTGGTGTGTGCCTATAGTTCCAGCTACTTGGAAGGCTGAGGCAGAAGAATCACCTGAGCCCAGCAGGTCAAGGCTGTGGTGTTCATGAGTGTGCCACTGCACTCCAGCCTGGGCGATAGAGTTGAGACTCCAACTCAAAAAAAAAAAAAGTCCACCTTTTGGTCAAGGAGTTTGTGGATGGCAAGTGTATAACAAGTCTCTTGCAGGAAAACCCCCTCCCCTTGTCTCCTCCCATCTAGCCTACCACCTGAGGGCAGGAGATGATAATGTCCCTTGACCTCAAAATCTTAAAATTCATGTGACTACAATCAACATCAAAGACCCACTGCCCTGGACACTCCTTTGGGATAAAATCCCCCTCTCCAAAAGCCCTTAAGTATACCCATTTCGTGACCCTTCGAGGCCACACTTGCCTCTAAATGTTGGTCCCCTTTCCAATCTGTGAAAGGTGAATAATAAACTTTGCTTCTTTCTACTTTCTCACTTGGTTGCAATCTTGTATTATTCCCGTGGCCCAGCACTGGCTCCAGCCCACCTTGCCTCAGCTGAGCCTTTCAAAGGATTTAGCACCTTTAATAATCCAGATGTATCCTGTAGACACTGAGCCAGGAGAAGTGTTTAAGCAGGAAAACTATGAGACCCAGTTAGTTTATTAGGAAGAAAACTGAACTGGAGGGGCAAGGAACGGGAAACAGGAAAAGAAGGGATCATAGCACTTGCCCAGGTGATGACGCTGGGCTGTGTGACAGCAACGATGGAGAGGAAGGGCTAGATTCTGGGCGTTTTGTAGTAGGTCAGGGTATAAACCACAAAATGTGGCACACGGTTGGTCGTGTTTATGATCTTCTCAGACTGCTCTGAGTTTGGACGGAAAAGGGGCTGTACTTTTAGAGGACGTGTTCATCCAAGGACGTGTTCATCCAAGGAAGACACCAAGCGTCGTATTTGTAGCTGGGATTTCTCGGGGGCATGGAGGGGTCCTCCACCCGACAGGCCCAGGGACCGAGGAAACCAGGTACAGCTCCACCTGGGCAGGCCCAAGCCGCATTCGCGTTCGGAGGACGTTCAGGGCCAGGAGCCACTCCCTCTCCTTTCCAACCCCGCCCCTTCCAACGCGCGACCCTACTAGCCATTCAGCGCTCATCTCTACGTCATCACCACGCGCCACCCGGCGCGAGTCAGAGGCCGGACCACGTGTACTGTGTTGACTGTCAAAGTCTTAGAGCCCGGAAGCGGCGAGTTCCGAGAGAAGCCTCCGGCCCGAGTCTCCGAGTCCGCGCCGCAGCCATGAGCGCCCCTGGCGTGCTGTCCTTCACCCAGCGAGGCTGGGAGCAGGTGCTGGCAAAGGTGAGACGGGCTGTCGTCTACCTGGACGCCGCCTGCGCCGAGAGCCTGCACTGGGGCTGCGGGGCTGCGCGGCTCCTGGAGGCGGCGGGGGGGCCTGCGTGTCACCTGCGGGAGTTCGAGCCCGACGCCGTCGGGGGAAGCGCTGAGCAGCCCAAGGCGGTGTTTGTGTTGAGCCGCCTGCTGAAAGGCCGCACCGTGGAAACACTGCGGGACATCGTCCGCCGCAGCCACTTCCAGTACTGTGTGGTGGTCACGGCCGTGAGCCACGCTGTCCATCTCACGGCCAACCACGTGCCGGCGGCCGCAGCGGCCGAGCTGGAGGGACAGCAGCCGGTGTTCGAGCAACTGGAGGAGAAGCTGTGTGAGTGGATGGGCAACATGAACTACACCGCCGAGGTGTTCCACGTCCCCCTGTTGCTCGCCCCTGCCGCCCCCAACCTCGCCTTGACGCCAGCCTTTGCCTCCCTCTTTCCACTGCTGCCTCAGGACGTGCAACTTCTTAATAGCGCCCGACCGGACAAGAGGAGGCTAGCGAGCCTGGGCGAGGTGGACGCAGCCGCCCTGCCCCCGGAGCTGCTCCTGCAGATCAGGTGCCTGGTGTCAGGCCTCAGTGCTCTGTGTGAGCACTTAGGAGTGCGCGAGGAGTGTTTTGCTGTGGGTTCCCTTAGTCGGGTCATCGCTGCCGATCTGGCCAATTATACCCCTGCCAAGAACAGGAGGAAGACTGCAGCAGGCAGGGCGTCGGTGGTCTTTGTGGACAGAACTCTGGATCTCACAGGTGAGTGGCGTTGCTGTGAAGTTCTTCATCACTGTTCTTTCAAGTTGCTGGGACTTCCAATGATCCAGCATAGGTTTCATTGGTGTCTTACTATATGTCATGCTGAAGTTACAAAGAAGAACTAGGTGGGCACAGTTCCCAATTTCACAGTTTATCATCTGGAGTAGAATATAGACAAATGAATTAGCAATTACAATATGATTTGTTAAATGCTGTAATGGGTAGAAATGCTGTGAGTGTGGATGCCTTGTTAAACAACAGCTTCATCGAGGTTTTGGAAAAATGGAATTATGCTGACATCAGGAAAATTGTCCACCTGGGAACCTTTTAGAAATCTGCAGATGCCAATATGCACAAGAATTCTTCATAGGAGGGATTTCTCTCCTTAGGCCTCCCCAAGACTTCAGTTAGGCAAAACTTCATGTGTGACTGTCCAGTGACATAGCAACAGCTCCTTTATGTCTGCAGTATCTGTTCCTCTAGCTTACATACAGAAAAAATGAGGTGAGCATAACTTCTGCCCTGTTAAAGCTTACAAAACAAGGCAGTCCAGAATCATTTAGGAAATAAGGGCACATAGAAAGACCAAGTTGCCAATCATTAGCGATCATTTCATCCCTTCTCACCAAGCCTCCAGGTCTTCCCCGTGCTTGCCTCAGCTTTCTGATTTCTTTTTTTTTTTTTGAGTTGGAGTCTCACTCTGTTGCCCAGACTGGAGTGCAGTGGCCGCTCCCGGCCACCACAGCCTCGACCTGCTGGGCTCCGGCGATCCTTCCGCTTCAGCCTTCCTACTAGCTGGAATTACAGGTGCGCGCTACCACGCCCGGCTAATTTTTTTATTTTATTGTCGAGATGAGGTCTCACCTGCCCAGGTGGGTCTTGAACCCGCGGACTCAGGCAATCCACTCACCTCAGCCTCCCAAGGGCGCGGGATTACAGGCTGAGCCACCGAGCCCGGCTGATTTCTAGTATTATTGAGACAACATAAGCCATTAGAAAAAGTTTGTTTCTTCTTGTCACTAAATCTATCACCCTTTCAACAGTTGTGCCCACTTCTTTTTCTTTCCTTTATCTTAAAAAGAGATGTACTATTTCTGCTACTAACTTTTCACCTATGTAGACTAAACCCTCTTTTTCACTTCCCTCATAGATTTGCCATCTTTCAAAAATCCTCTCTCTTTCTTAGATCATAATTTTTTCCTTTTCTCTGGATGTCCCCATCGACATACAAATAACATGGAATGTGAGACCCCATCTCCATCAAAAAATAATTTTAAAAAATTAACTGCTGGCCAGCTATAGTGTCTTATGCCTGTAATCCCAGCACCATGGGAGACTGAGGCAGGAGGATTGCTTGAGCCCAGGAGTTCAAGACCAGCTAGGCAGCATTATGAGACCTTGTCTTTACAAAAATAAAAATAAAAAAATTAGCCGTACATGTTGGCACACACCTATAGTCCCAGGTAATCGTGAGGCTGAGGAGAAAGGATCACCTGAGCCCAAGAGGTGGAGGCTGTGGTAAGCCATGATTGTGCCACTACACTCCAGCCCGGTTGATAGAGTGAAACCCTGGCTCAAACAAACAAACAAACAAACAAACAAACAAACAAACAAAAAAACCGTTAGCTGGACATGGTGATGCATGCCTGCAGTTCCAGCTACTTGAGAGGCTAAGGTGGAAGGATTGCCTGAGCACCAGAGGTCTGGGCTGCAATGAGCTATGATCGCCACTATACTCCAACCTGGATGACAGAGTGAGACCTTGTTTCAAACAAAACAAAATAGAATGAAACCTCTTTCTTGACCCCTCATGCCCTTCCAACTTCAGTCTCAGGTTTTTGCTTTATATCATAGAAAACTTGAAAAAGTTGTTTATATTTGCTGCCTTCACAATCATCTGCTCCAGTTTTTTCTTGACTCCACTTCAGTTAGGCTTTTACGTTCCAACACATCTCAGAAACTTCCTTTGTCAAGGTCACCAGGAGGCTCTCTTATTGCTTAATCTAAATGTCATGAATTTTATTGGTTTTTAAAACAGCATTTGATACTGTAAATCATGCAAATAGAAAAATTAAAAAGCACAAAAGGTAGGCAACCACTTAAGTTTCTTGTGTGATCCCATCAAATATAAATATGGGCTCGGTTCAATGGCTCCGCCTGTAATCCCAGCACTTTGGGAGACTGAGGTGAATGGATTGCCTGAGCCTGTGGGTTTGAGACCCACCCAGGCAACTTGCTGAGATCTCATCTCTACAATAAATCAAAAATTAGCTGGTCATGGTAGTGCGTGCCTCTAGTTCCGGCTACTTGGAAGACTAAGGTGGTAAGGATTGCTGGAACCCAGCAAGTTGAGGCTGCGTGCCACTGCACTCCAGTCTGGGTGACAAAGTGAGACTCCAACTCAAAAAAAAAATTTATATATATATGACATGTCATTGGCTTGCTCACAATCCTCCTGTGGCCTCTCATGACATCTATGTCAAGACCAAGTTCCTTACAGTTGTGTACAAGGCCATCCCTGACCTGCCTGTGATTCTCCCATTGACTCCCCACACAGTTTTCCGGCACACTGGCTCCCCTGCCATTCCTTACATGGGACATGCATGTCTCAGCATCAGGGCCTTTGACATTCCTCTGCACTTCTGTTGGGATGTTGTTCCTTCAAGTATCTGCATCTTCTCCCTCATGGCTCATGGAATCTATGTGATCTTCTCTCTCATGGCTCATGGCATCTGTGTGACCTTTACCCACATGACTCATGAAATCTGTGTGACCTTCTTCCTCATGGGTCATGGCCTCTGTGTGGACTTCTCCTTCATGGCTCATGGCATCTGTGTGACCTTCTTCATCATGGCTCATGGTATCTGCATGGTCTTGTCCCTCATGGTTTGTGGTATCTGTGTGGCCTTGTTTCTCATGGCTCATGTTATCTGCGTGGCTTTCTCCCTCATGGCTCATGGTATTTGCGTGGGATTCTCCCTCATGGTCCATGGTATCTGTGTGGCCTTCTCCCTCATGGCTAATGGTATCTGCATGACCTTTTTACTCATGGTTCATGGTATCTGTGTGAGTTTCTCCCTCATGGCTCATGGCATCTGTCGTGGCCTTCTTCCTCATGGTTCATGGTATCCACATGGCCTTGTCCTTCATGGTTCATGGTATCTGTGTGGTCTTCTCCCTCATGGTTTGGGTATCTGTGGCTTTCTCCTTCATGGCTCATGGTATCTGAGTGACCCTCTCCCTCAAGGTCATAGTATCTGCATGGCCATTCCCTTAGGGGTAATGGTATCTGTGTGGCCTTCTCCCTCATGGTTCATGGTATCTGCATGGCCTTCTCCAACATGGCTCAGTATCAGCTAGGCCTTCTCTCTCATAGTTCATGGTATCTGTATGGCCTTCTCCTTCATGGCTCATGGTAACTGCTTGGCCTTCTTCTTCATGGCTCATGGTATCTATATGACCTTCTCCCTCATGGCTCATGGCATCTGCTTTGCTTTCTAGGTCATGGCTCATGAAAGCTGTGTAGTCTTCTACTTCATGGTTTTTGGCATCTGCGTGGCCTTCTCCCTCATGGCTCGTGGTATCTGCGTGGCCTTCTCTCTCATGGCTTGGGTATCTGCCTGGCCTTCTCTCTCATGCCTCATGATATGTGCATGAATTTCTCCCTCATTCCTCATGATATCTGCATGGTCTTCTCCCTCATGGCTCATGATATCTGCGTGGCCTTCTCTCTCATGGCTCATGGCATGTGCATGAATTTCTCCCTCATTCCTTATGATATCTCCATGGTCTTCTCTCTCATGGCTAATGGTATCTGCGTGGCTTTTTCCCTCATGGCTCATGGCATCTGTGTGGTCTTCTCCCTCATGGTTCATGGCATCTGTGTGACCTCCTCTCTCAAGACTCAGTATCTGCATGGATTTCTCCCTCATGGTTCATGGTATCTGCGTGGCCTTTTCCCTTATGGCTCATAGGATCTGCATGCCCCTCTGCCTCATGATTTATGGAATCTGTGTGGACTTCTCCCTCATGGCTCATAGTATCTGCGTGACCTTCCCCTTCATGGCTTATGGTATCTGGGTGACCTTCTCCCTCACGGGTCATGGAATCTGTGTGACCTTCTTCCTCATGGCCCATGGAATCTGTGTGGCCTTCTCCTTCTTGCCTCATTGTATCTGTGTGGTCTTCTCCCTCATGGTTCATGACATCTGTGTGATTTTCTTCCTCATGGTTCACGGTATCCTCATGCCATTCTCCCTTATGGCTCTGGTATCTGTGTGGCCATCTCCCTCATAGCTCATGGTATATGCATGTCGTTCTCCCTCATGGCTCATGGTACCTGGGTGGCCTTCTCCCTCATGGTTCATGGTATCTGCCTTTCTTCCTCATAGCTCATGTTATTGCATGTCCTTCTCCCTCATGGCTCATGTTATCCCGTGGCCTTCTCCCTCATGGCTCATGTTATCCCGTGGCCTTCTCCCTCATGGCTCATGGAATCTGCATGGTCTTCTCCCTCATGGTTCATATTGTCTGTGTGACCTTCTTCCTCATGGCTTATGGTATCTGCATGGCCTTTTCCCTCATGACTTATGGTGTCTGCCTGACTTTCTCCCTCATGGCTCATGGTATTTGCATGCCCATCTCCCCTTTTGCTCATGGTTATCTCTGTGGCCTTCTCCCTCATGGCTCATGGTATCTGTGTGGCCTTCTCCCTCATAGCTTATGGTAAATGCCTGACTTCTCCATCATTTCTCATGGTATCTGCATGGTCTTGTCTTCTCCCTCATGACTTATGGTATCTGCAAGGCTTACTTTCTCTTTCATGGCACATGGTATGTGCAAGAACTTCTTCATTCTTCCTAGTATGTGCATGGTCTTCTACCTCATGGTTCATGTCATCTGTATGGTCTTCTTCCTCATGGTTCATTGCATCTGTGTGGCCTTCCCCCTCATGACTCATAGTATATGTGACATTCTTCCTCATGGTTCATGGTATCTGC